GAAGAGGAAGGAGAATCAGCGAAGCGTGCCATCAATATCGGCACAATTTGAATCATAAAAGGGAAGTATTCGCTAAGTTCTTTGGCTATCCCAATCTTGATTGACTACTGTTTGCTGGAGTATGGTCAATTTAAACGAGATACTTGTAGTCGTATTTCCCTGTATATTCATAACATTCAGCCGTTGTTTATGTTAAATCCAACTTCGCGACAAAACCGATTCCTTCTAGACTATACTCATATTCAAGATTAAGGTAAATTTTTGATGATCTTTTATTTTCGATCTTGATGGGTGGGTGTGGGTGTGGGTGTTGCTATGCCGAAGGTTGCTATTTTTATATTTACCGATGACCACACCCACACCCACACCCACACCCTTGAAACAATAGGTCTGACAAGCAAATTCTACGGAATTTTTTCATGAAGTCTGGTTTAATCGAGTCCGTACCACCATTAAGATCTAGTAGATAGAAGCTAGCCTGTCAATAGCTGCCTGGTGTAACTTTTCAAATTATATCACCCAGGTCGAAGCAACCGGCCCTGGAAACGACCGATTCCCGCGATTTCACGGAAGCAGTATTCCAGATCGGGAAATCTTCAGATTTTTCCTGGAAATTCCGCCAAGTTCCTGTTAGTTCTCGCTGGAAATCAGCGGAAATCATGGGGAAAATCCGAAAAAATCCGTCCTGGAATCCTGCTTCCAGGGTCCGATGGTATCCGGCGTTTTCCTGCACGTTCCGGTGCGTTTCCAGTATGTTTCTGGCCGGTTCCAATGAAATCCGCTCATTTCCGGAGGCCGGAAACATCGTCCTGGGCAGTAAAGAAATAGAAGATCAGTCTTCGAGTTTGAGGTTTCACTTTTCACTATGGCAATGCGAGATCACAGAAAATCTCAGTTATCAACAAATTTTTGACAGAAAATTCTATGAAATCATATCCAAATCTAGCATAATCTTAAGATCTATATACGTATGACTTATTTCTGCTTTCAAAACGCAAATATCAATTACATGAAACTGGATTTAATGACGACAATATGCTATTACATGTCTTTTAACAAGCCATTAACAATCACAGAAAAAATTATTTCCAAAGCTACGTTGATGGCCTATAGTATAATCAAATGCAGCACAAGTGCGTTATGCATTAGTGTTCATATTCTGGAAAATAATACTAGAATCAGCCTTCGAATAGTTGCCTAAAGGGCTGCTGAAAAAACTTTTCGAGTGTCCCATGTAAATTTCGTATACGGAATTTGTTACAATTTAACACGACATGCTCTTGATCTCATTTGTCGAGGACATCAGAAATATGCTTGAACGAAAATTTTCTTGTAATGAATAACTTTAAATTATTGCGGAAAATCCGATAATGCCGACGATATTGAGTATTACGAAAAATTTAATGTATTCATTTCGAATACTTTGAGTACCAACTCAGAAACTATAGAGCGTACATCGAGTCTTTAGATGAATATTGTTTATAACATTTAAGCAAAGTATATCAATACTCTTGTTTCATGAAAACAAAAAGTTTGGAACATATTTATTTTAGGCAGAAAGAAAAATGTCATCAGGCCATTTGTCTTCACATAAAATGGTTACATCAATATTATTCTGACGGACGGCAGCAACGAAAATAACATATTGTTTATGTATATACGTATATATGAACTGAAAGGAAATGAGATTGACTGAGTGAAAAAGAATAATTAGACATGAACATTTTAAATAGTAACAATATTAATATACTCGATCTACCAGATGAAATATTATCTATCATTTTCAATAAACTGAAGACGATCGATATATTCTATTCATTGGTAGGTGTAAATCACCGATTTGATCGACTACCACTCGATTCTCTCGTTATTCATCATCTTGATTGTGCAATCGAACGATATCGTGTTCATAACCTTTCGGTAGATACTTACATTCTCGATAAAGTTTGTTCGAAAATCTATCCTCGAATTAATGATAAAATAACTAAACTTGCTCTTGATCCATTTTCAACGGAACCTATTCTTAGTGTTGTGAAATATCCTCAACTACATTCATAATTCATTGGACAATTATCAATCTCATATACTCCTACGACATTTAAAAGGTATGATCATGAATTCCATTTGACTTGATGAACCATTGATGTTTTTATTTACATATTAGATGGTGAGATATTTTGTGTAAATGATCAAATTACAGATCTTACCGTCAACATTTACCATGACGAAGGAGAATTATCCGATGAGCTTGAAACAATTGTATTTGTAGCAATATTATTCTACTGTAGATATTTAACTGATTTGACTTTTTCTGAAAAGTTTTCAAGCCACTATCTATCATTTGTATCATGTGATATTCTACAAGGATATTCTTTACCGTCAACTCTGACTAACTTGACTATAAAAGTAAATAGTTTTGATGAATGTCTTTATCTTCTTAATGGGTGTCTCCAATTTTTATCAACGTTGATAATTCGCATAAAGAAAATTAGTCGTCCATCGTCGAATATTAATAATACAGTAAGTACAAATACTGTTCATTGAATATGAACAAATTTATCTTTCAAAATCCACTAATTATCTTATTTTTTTTAGGAAAAACTTGTCAAATTGAAATGTTTCTCATTAGTAGGAGAGCAGTATTCGTACTTTTATGATAAACTGGTTGTTCCATTACTTCGTCGAATGTTAAATCTTGAAGAATTATCGTTACAACTCTCAGCAATAAGAGCTGAAAGATCTTATATCGATGATAATCAATTATATGAACAAGTTCTTAAGTATCTGCCACGACTAAACAAATTTATATTCAATATACACACTCATATTATTAATACTAGTAGTATTGAAATTGATCTTCCATCGAATGATGATATTCGGAATAGTTTCATTAAACGAGGTTTTCAATGAGTTGGTACATGTGCTACTAAAACACTTATAGATAATGTAGGCGATTGTCATGTTTATTCTCTTCCATATCTATTTGATGATTTCTTATTTCTGAGTAACTGTTTTCAAGGTGGTCAATTCAATAAAGTTCGAATGTTAATGATGCGTGATAGATATCCATTTGAAGAAAAATTATTTCTGAAGATTTTCCTTTTCTCCAAAAATTAATCATATTAAATTTAAAAGCACAACAAAATGATCAACATCGTTCGTCTACATTGATTAGATTTAATCATCTCTTCAAACTCAATATTATTAATGCAGACAATGACTATGTCACACAATTTCTTCCTGAAAGAAAGACGTCTTTACCTTGTTTAACGAATCTCAAAATTAGATACAGTACATTAGCAAGTGTAACAAATAATTTTACCAATGATGAAACACGCCTCAATTGTACTAAAATAAAATCTCTATACGCATGTGATCTAACTGTTCGTTCACAAAATTTTGATTCATATTTTCCCTCTCTCTGATTTTTCTTAGTCTTGTATAAATCATTTAAATAAAAATAAATGCGGTAAGAAAGTTAAAATGTATTTCGATCATAACAAATTACTCGATCATTTATTGTTTATTTGTACAAGTAATGAGTACAACAACACTGAATGAAATCATCATATGAAAATAAAAAGAATAGGGTTTAAATAATTGCTTATGTTCTGATTTTTGAAGAGTTTTAAGCAGAGAATTAATTATTGAGAAGGAGATATTAAATCAAATATTAAAGGTTTGATGAGCATTTAATACAACGATGAATAGCAAACAGATTCATTACATAGATTTTTATAGAAATCAGTCGATTCTGATCTATGAACAGTTTATTTCATATAATAAATACAAGTCTCAATTTGACTAATAGAAATTATATGAATATATAATATTTGTCTAGATGAAAAATAATGAGTTGTCTACTATCTTTTGTAAAATTTGGTACTGAGATCATTTTTAATCTTTTTCAAACAGTTTTCCCTCTATAACAGTAAAAACTCTTTACAATGATAAAAACAAACATTTTGGCCTGATCGTACTACTTTATCGAATAAGTTTTTACTTTTACTTAAATAACGCGACTTTGTAAACTGTTGTTGATCGTATTTTTAGTGCAAAATAATCAATTAAAATAAATTTATTGATCATAAATACAGGATGTGCCAAACGGTTTGCGACATTTCTTATTTCATATACATCTTGAGGGTGTGGGTGTCTTGCTTATATACACCCACATCCACACCCTATAAAGCATTTATTTGAGGTAGCAGTGTTAATGTTACCGCTGTCTAAGTTGAGCTATGAGCTTTTGGTGAGCATGATAATTCTTTTGAAATGTATGTACTTACTCCTGTGAATTTTGACGACAATATCGGTATAACGGTGACCATCTGTGGTCAATTAGCTGAAGCTTATTATGGCTGCAAAAAGGTTTATAAGAAAACTGAATACAGTGGTTGCACAATGAACAACTACAATATACGGTGTTCTATAGAGACTTCAAAGCATTAATATTTCTCATTATCCCTTATTTATGGAGAAACATTATCCCGTTTTATTTCATACTATTTTATATGGGTCCATTCTTTTTAACGGACTCTTCTAACACGCATGAGTTCGCAGACTTTTCATTTGAGTAGTTCTAATATTTTTGCCAATACTAGGTAAACCTTTGACTTTTAAAGAAATGAGTATTTTCAGTGAAATGTTATCAAATAACATCTCTTAGCATAATCGGTATTTTTTTTCTTTTTCTAGTAATTTCTTAAATAGGGTATCATTACTCAGAAAACTTTCAAAATAATGTAAAGAATGTTTGAGTAGTTTGTTTTTTCCTTCTTATGTCGACTACACGTGTTCTGCCAATCGCTTACTTTTTCACTTCATCATTTTATGCTAGTGCAGAATCGCTCGCAAACTTAGTTGGTTTTTATGCATGCTTTTACTGGATTCATTTACGACCCTGCACTAACGAAAATTTTCACTCGATTTCTGCCAATGCGATTGGAAAAGTATTGATTCATATTATTATTTTTAGTAGTGATATAAGTGTACGATTATTCGCTCATTTATAAGATGACGACTGTTCATCAACTCTCTCGTTTCATGGAAACAAAAACAAAAGTGACTCAGATTAATTTGGAGGATTTTTCTGTTGTATGGCTCGACACTAATCTGCTCATCACAAACGATTGCAAAGAAATGGCGAACAATCTGCGTCAAATCATAAACTATTTAAAACTATTCGACAATACCGATGACTGTTTAAACTATATATCATCATTAACCAATGAAAAAGTATTTTTAATTACATCTGGTTCACTAGGACAAGGCATTATGCCATTAATTGATGGGATTCCACAAATCTTATCCGTTTATATTTATTGTACAATAGCACGGCGTCATAGACAATGGTTTGATACATATTCAGGAAGAAAGTTGCATGGATTGTATACTGATATGAATTTGCTATTATTCGAACTTAAAAAAGAGGTTGCACTACAATCGAAAAATTTATTCGCCATAAGTGTATTCAATCAAAATATATCCAATGTTTTCAAAGAAAAATCAATACAAGATTTAGGTCATCATAATGGCACATTCATTTGGTTTCAAATATTAATTGAAACATTACTACGTATGCGACAAACGAATGATGCAAAGGTTGATATGTTGACAGAATGTCGATTGCTATACGATGGAAACAATATTGAGCAAGACAAGATTTATGATTTTAAACATAATTATCAGCCATCTGATGCTATACGTTGGTATACGCGTGATTCATTTGCATATCGTTTATTGAATAAAGCGCTCCGAACAGAAAATATCGATATAATTTTTTTATTTCGATTTATGATTAAAGATCTTCACCAACAGTTACGACAATTACATGAAATGCAAATGAACGGCAATTCGTTTACTGTCTATCGTGGACAACAAATGTCGAATGACGAATTCCAAACGATTCGAAATTGTCAAAATGGCCGAATAGCTACTAATACATATTTATCGACAACATTCGACAAAGATGTTGCAGTGATTTATGCTGGTGATGGCTCTGCCAGGCCAGAGATTGAGTCTATTTTATTTGAAATTACAGTCGATAATAAATCTTTACTTTCATTAACACCCTACGCAAATATTGGTAGCTTAAGTTATTATCAAGATGAAAGTGAAGTGCTTTTTTCGATCGGTACAGTATTTTGTATTGTTTCAATAACGGAAGATACTAATGGTATATGGCACGTTAAATTAAATTTAAGTACAGACGAAGACAAAGAAATAAGAAAAGTTGTTGATTATTTTCGAAGAAAAATGTTGAAAAAAACTACATTAAGAGATCTAGGAGATTATTTAAAAGACATGGGCCAATATGATAAAGCGATTAGTTATTATAGAGTTGTTCTAGAACGATTTACTATAAATGATGAAAACGAAGATATTCTATATAAGAACATTGCTAAATGTTTCGAAGAAAAAGGAGATTTGGATGAAGCATTAAAAAATTATTTATTGGCATTAGAAGTTCAAATGATAGAATACACAGCATGGTATACAGAAACTGGTAAGACATATTATTTTATTGCAGGTATCTATGAAAAGAAAGGTATTAAAACTCTTGCTATGAAATATATGGATAAAGCATTCGATTATCTCACTTCACTTGAAAAACAACAATCGACACATAAATCATGGGATTCTCATTTAGTAGAAACTTGTAATTATATCGGTTTGATTCATGCAAAGAGAGGCAACCACCAAGAAGCATTGGCATACTTTGAAAAAGCATCGAATAAACTTTTAGAGCTTCCCCCAAACGATGACAATATGTTAGACCTCGCATCGACATACGCACATATAGGAGCTGTATGGTCAGCACTAGGTAATGGTGATAGTGCACTCAAATATTACCAAGAAAGTTATCAACTTAAACAGAAAATACTGCCTTCAAGTCATCCGTCTTTGGGCACCAGCTTCAATAATATGGGTGTCGTTTGTTCTCAACATGGGAACTATGAAGATGCATTGAATTATTACAGAAAAAGTATTGAATTAAGGCAGAAATCATTGCCAATCGCTCATATTTCCATTGCTGCATGCTATGCAAATATGGCCAATCTATATTCGAAACAGAACGATTTTACGGAGGCAATAAATCATTACGAGAAAGCTCTCGATATTAGACAATCGTGCTTATCTCAAGATAGTCAATTAATCACAAAATCCTACATAGACATTGCTTATAACTATGATAAAAAATGTGATTATGATAAATCACTTGAGATTTATCGAACAGCACTCTCAATAGCAATGGATCATAAGGTAAAAGATCATGTTCAAATTTCATCGATCTATAATCGTATGGGGCTTGTTTATCAAAAGCAAGGCAAAATGACTGACTGTTTCGAGTATCATAGAAACGCATTACAAACGTACCTCGGCAACATACGAGAAAATCACCAATGTCCACAGTATTTAGTGGTTCTATATGGAAATGTGAGTTGTGCGCAGATGGAATTGAAATTGTATACCGACGCATTGGAGAATTATCAGAAAGCATTAACCATTAGATTAAAAAATACTCCTGATGATCATTTATCAATAGCTAAACTATACCATTCTCTTGGCAATGTCTATCACGCGATTACTAACTACAAACTTGCTTTGCACTATTATTCACAATCATTTCAAATACAACATGAACGATTGCCATCGAATCATACTCTATTAGAAACACTGGCCAATAAGATATATAAGCTTTGTGTTGAAGAAACTGCTCTGAGTAAATTTGATCAGTTAGATTTAATGAACAAAGTGTATGAACTGCTATCAAAATTATGGCGGCCAGGTAATTCCAAAATGATTGAGCTACGGAATGATATTGAACAGCTGGAAGATAAATTAGATATTCTCACTATTTATTGGAAGTAAAATCATTTGTATTAATACTATTGGACAGCATGAAGACCTGATCTCTGGTAGAGTCTTGTCGCGACCGACATATCGATGGCAGTGGATGTGGGTGTGGTTACCTCTTTGTCTGATTGGGAAACCACTATATCCGCACACCCACACCTTCGCAGCGTGTTTGCTTTCCTGATTTTTTCATGATAATTTTAAAATGTCCTGATTTTCCTGTTTTTTGGCTAAAAATCGTGATTTTACCGTGATATTTTATGTTTTACTGTTATAGTAGTAAAGTTGCATGGTTATGACTTTTCATGTTATTTTACTCCGCCCATTTTTAAGATTTAAACAAAATATTGATCGAATATTTTTACAAAAGCGAATGAGAATGCTCAAAATATACTTATATCAATCATTCGATTTCTCTCGTAGGTCATACTAGCATCAAATTCGAGTTTTCTTGTCCGGATTCACTTTGAAACATGCGTTGAGTCTCTAATCAATTGTGATGAGTACGAAATTCGTGATTGATCGGATGATACAGGTTCGGATGGAGGTCATCAAGAAAAGCAGGAAGTCAGATGTGAGTGTGGGTCTCTTATTCATCGAATGCCTTATTACACCCACACCCACACACACCCTTCTTGAATTTGATAATTTTTTTAAATGTAAATCGACCAATTCAAAACACTTATTCCCAGTAGGGTGTTGTGCAGCAATTGATCTGCCTTAGAATGTTTTTATTTATGCTCAGGATAGAGAAGAAATGAGTAATCATGGCATATGTGGTGTTTACTTGTATACATGTCATGCTGATTCATGATTCATCTCAGCACTGAAATGTAATATTATTGGTTTATTCACCCCTCCCCCTACGTGTGATTTTATTTAAAACAACGCAGTATAAGAAGGAAATTCTTATGCAACTGTCTTTCGAAAAAAAAATGTTGAATTTGTGCTAATGTGACGCATACCCATCGTCTTTCATTTTCCTCTTCTTATTTTTTTCAGTTCTCATTTTACAAATAAAATTTATTATTGACGCAAACAACATATTCACCTTCAATGCAATAGTGTCAAATCTGAATACCAAATTGGATTTTTAGATTTGGTATGTATGGCTCGGTGAAAAACGCGCAGCAGAACAGTGAAACAATATGGAGTGGGAACAAATCCTTTTGAGTCTTTTCCCTGGGCGAACAATACGGTCCGTATTTCTGCAGCATTTTTGTCGTATGCAATGCATTTACGGTATGAATACGGCAAAGTCACGGTAAAAATACTTTCGTAAAACAGCGGCCTGATTTACGGCGAAAAACGGTACATAAACGATACAAATACGGCCGTAGACGGCCCGTATCTGGTGGCCGTACTCAATCACCCGGGTTTCAGTCACAATCTCTCCTGCTTGTGATCAAACTACCTCTGGAGTAGATTTTTGAAATTATTTCGAAAGGTTCCATCATGAGTAGTTACTGCTAAACCTCAGGCAAAATTCTCAAGGCTTCTGATTGCTACTACTAATTGACTAATAGCATAACCAGATGAACAGAAGAATATGTCTATAGCGATGCTACATCGTGTTTTAGTACGAATATGAGATTTTGATTTGTTTTGACAGAATATCCGCACTTATATCTAAACTCCTTGTGATTAATCGACTAGATGACGTTTTTTTACAGTGCGTAGTTTCGTGCAGTAAATATGAAAGATTCAAAATTAATCTGATAGTGATAGAATTAAGACGATAACATATTTTACAACCTTGAAACACACTCTTTCGATGGTATTCACTATATAGAGGTTTTATTGTAATTATTTGTGTAATTTCATTAAGAAACGCTACTTGTTTTTTTTAAATCCTATTATTCTGTCGATTGAATATTCACCTGAAGTACATAGAAATCCATTGATGTGCTTGAATGGCATGAAAATCAGACAGTGAAAAAAATAAAAACAAAACAAGTCAAACAATATGTTAGTTTATGACACTGCTGAATTTGATTCTTTTTTCCTTGCAACATTCACGATTTTAATTCGATCAAATAGATCCAATCTGTTTTTTCTCTAATCCGCTGTAATTTGACTTTATATACAATTACTTTGTGAAACGTAATTGTTAATTGTTATTCTTACTAAACAATCTCGAGCATTATAGGCGCAGCTGAGGTAAAATCCCAGTTTTGCAACTGTCTAATCGCGTGTCCATATGAGACTCCAGTTAGAGTATCTCACTTTAATTCGTATCCTATCAGGTTTTCAGTTCTATGTCCGTTCGAATAGATCATCTTTCCTACTGATTACTATCAAACACACTCGATTGTCTGAATTCATCATGAGAAGAAAATTTGAGTCAAACGCTGATGATCTTCATGCTGTATGTTTCTAACTTGAAGAATATCATCCACATCTTTCACCGTGTGTATTCAATAAAACTAGCTCAATTTTCCAAGTTCAACTTTCTTAGACAATCTTCTAGAAAGAAATTTTTCATAGATTTCTGCCATTCATTTTATCATAATTTTGCAGGAAGGATAGCATTTTTCAATCTGTTTCGTTTTGGCTATCCAAAGCACCTTTCTTTAGATGCAGATAGCTTAAAAGATAGTAGAACATTCGTATCGTTCAATATGATATATGTAGTATGATATATGAAAATCCCACTTCGAATAGCATCAGATATGCTATTCTATTTTAGATAATTATGGGAGATAAAAAGTCATGGAAAAAAAAATGAAACACGTGTTTTCTACGCTACATTCAGCGTTGATAAAAAAAAGCTACACAAACTAGATTTGAATGAGAATTCATCCATTAGCAATTCTGCATCCTCTGGTCCAACTGTCATCTTAAAAAAGGCTGGAGCAATTCCTGCGCCATTAAATGAATTATTACAATCTCCAAATTTTGAAGGCATTACATTAATTTGGTATGATCCACATTTGAATACAACTGAAGATACCAAACAAACAGCAAAAGAATTGAGAGAAATAAATAATTATGTGATATTTCATTCAGATCAACTTGAATGTATTGATTTTATAAAATCAATTAAAGATGAAAAGATACTTCTTGTTACGTCTGGAAAAGCTGCTTCGACCCTTTTGCCAGAAATCATTGAATTAAAACAAGTTGATTCAATCTTTATTTTCTGTTGGAAAATTGAAAAATATCAAGATTTATTACAAAGATATGAATCACTAGTTGGTATCTATACTGACCGTTCAATTTTGATTAATGCTATCAAAGAAAATGTCGATTTATTACAGAAACAATTAAATGCCTTTAGTTTCTACAATGAACACGAAGAAAAAGCGATACGTGATTTATCTCAAGAATCTGCCGAATTTATCTGGTTTCAATTATTTAAAGATGTTATTCTACGAATGCCAACCAATAGCAATGCCAAAGAACAATTAATACAATTTTGTCGTGAATATTATCGTGGAAATCAAAAAGAATATAATAATATCGATGAATTTGAACGTTCATATAAAAAAGAAAAATGTATTTTTTGGTACACGCGTGAAACACTTTTGTACAAACTTGTCAATAAAGCTCTACGTACAGAAGATATGGCACAATTACATATGTTTCGATTCTTCATTGCTGATTTATCGTTACATTTAGCGACATTACATAAGAAAAATCGAGAAAAAAACAATGTCGTGATGTTTTATCGTGGTTTAAAAATGGAAAATGAAGAATTAAATCGATTTAAGACAAGCTAAGGTACTGTAATTGCAACAAACGGATATCTTTCGACAAGCCTTTCGAAAAAAGTTGCCATGGAATTTGCTTTAAAATCTACAAAAAGAACGAATGTAGTTTCCACATTGTATGAAATTGAATGTAATTTAAATGAATCGAAATCAATTATCTTTGCTAATATAACAAAATATAGTGAATTTGCTAGTGAACAAGAAGTATTATTCGATCTTGGTAGTACATTTAAGATTCAATCCGTTATTGAAGATGAAGAATTGAAATTATTTGTTGTTAAACTGAAAGCAACTGACGATGGAGAAAAATTAGCGAAAGCATATATTGAATCAAACAGAAAAGTCAATGAAGAAACGAGTTTAGATATTCTATTTGGTAAATTACTTATAAAAATGGGAAAATATGATCAATCATTAACTTATTTCGAGAATTTATTAAATGAATCCAATGGAAAAGTTGATGTAGCACGAATTTATAATGAAATCGGATATGCATATTTATGTAAGGGTGAACTTAAAGAAGCCCATGAATTTGCTTGTCGTTCATATGTAATGACGATTCAAACAAAACCTTCTCGTGTCAAACATTCAGCAAGACCATTAACAAATATGGCTCATATTTATCTTCGAAGAGAAATGTATAACGAATCATTAGAATACAATTTTCAAGCGTTAGAAATTCAAGAAACTTTTTATGGTAAGGAACATTTAAATACTGCTGCAACATTGAATAATATTGGTAATGTCTATTATAAAATGCAAGATTATTCAACATCATTAATGTACTATGAAAAATCACTTAATATTCGTCAAAAACAATTACCAATGTTTGATATTGATATAGCGGCAAGTTTCAATAATCTTGGACTTGTCCATTTGAAAATGAATAGACTATATCCAGCATTTGACTACCATCAAAAGTCATTAGAAATCAGAAAAAGAATGCTTCCACCAGAACATAATGACATTATTCAAAGTTTATTGAATATTGCACATGTGCTTTATGAACAAAATTCAATAGGCGAAGCGTTGAACTATTTCTCCAAAGCATTACAAATTCAGAAAATTCAATTAGATTTGATAGATCATGATAAACTTGTAGATCGTCTGAAAGAAAGTTTTGGACCACAACTACATCACAATGCTCCTCGAGATATTCCCCATTCTACAATCGTTCTTCGTAGCCCGCCTCCCCTTGCTACACAATTCTCTCGTTGGCCTGAATACGCGGTCATAATACATGAGCTTCCCCCTCCAAGTAGACCAGGGATTCAAAAATTCGATGATTCTCTTTTTTATGAGTTCATCACAGCGCTTCATGGTAATACCGATGATCAAAAAGCTCTGCATCTATGGAAAGAGTTGTTAAATAAATGCAATGCAACATATAACAATGATCCTAGACATATTCAAGACTTAGAATACGGTCTGACAAAGGATCTAGGAGATTCTTATCAGAGTTTCGATGAAAGTCAAGAGGCGCTTCATTTTTACGAAAAAGTTCTATTCATATTGGAAAGCTCGACTCCTTCATTAATCAGCATGGACAATGCACGAATTCTATGCTTGGATCGTATCGCTAATATTCATCAACGAAATGATAATTTTGAATTAGCACTCGACTATTTGATTCGAGGCTTAAATGTGATGCAACGCAAGAGAAGAATGCCGAACGAAATCTCCGATAAAATGCGTCATATTGGTCTTGTGCACATGACCCTTGGAAATTATAATTTAGCGTTGAACTCGTTCAATGATGCACTCACTATACTGCAATCAAATTCGATAGATCCGAATGATCGGGAGATAAAATTAACTTTAAGACGAATCGATGAAGTTAAAGAAGCACTTGAATCAGGTACACATGCGTAAAACTGTGACATTTGTATTTAAATATCATCATGACACTCAATAATTCGATTTTCATGGGTGAAGTTCATATTGAGAGTGCGATGAGAAACAGTCGAATCTACTAGTGTTCATGTTGTTTTTTGATTAAGAACATATTCTAATAAAAAACTTATATATAAAACGAATATGTGTTATTTTAACTATGCATTCTTCAATCGTTTATCCACGTTGTTTCGAATTCGAATTTCTATTCTATTTGCATTCAGTGTACAAAAAGCTCGATCATAGCGTCGCTAATCTTTGAAACTGATATAGTGCGATGGTTGTTGTTTCTTTTCAATACCCGAACATGTTTACGTAACAGATATACATTTTTGTGTTTTTATATCCTACCTACACAAACATATTGATATCTTGAGGTGAATTGCCTGTAAAAGAGATAGGGTGTGAGTGTGGGTATGGGTATGGGTGGTTGCCGACGGGTTTTGGATATGGGTAAAGAAATAGCAGAGAGCACCAAGCCAATTCTATCACTGATAAGAACATCATTGCCTGTTTTCAGAAACTGGTGCAAGGTAGGGAAAAAGACAGTGTAGCTATAGAGAAACATATAAACTCAAAGCAGGTCAAGACTTCTTCTGCATTGTGCATCAGATAGAAGTCAAAACGTATAAAAATACATGATACAGTAGTCAGTAGACAAATGGAGTATATCATTTATTTAAAAACATATCATAACTGATACTCTTGTGGTGTGGATAGAACGTGTATTTTTCGAAAGAAAGAGTGCGACTATTGTTAAGGACCATCTTCTTCTTAACTGCTCAAACTTGAAAGTTTCCACATGGTGCTCACAAAAATCTTCGTCTACAATTCTCGTACACACATGTCACAGGTTCGTCTTCTTCATGATCAGCATTTTTCCAGACGATGGAACCAGAACAGTGCGTACAAGCCAGCTGTTGGAATTTTTGCTTACAGGTTTCGTAGGGACACGTTACAACTGATCCTTCTTTGTGATCAGCATTTTTCCAGACGATGGAGCCAAAACAGTGCGGACAAACCACCTGTTGGAATTTGCGCTTACAGGTGTCGTAGGCACACGTTACAACTGATCCTTGTTGGTAATCAGCATTTTTCCATGTATTAGAGCCAGAACAGTGGGGACAAGCTACTTGGTGAAATTTTCGCTTGCAATTGTCATAGCAACATGTTACAAGATATCCCTCTGAATAGACAGCACTTTTGTACACAATATCTTTCGTACAATGAGGACACTTGAACGATGCTGTTTTCTTATTGCTAACGACGACCCCTGAACGAAAATAGAAGTTTAGGGTTTGGTACACTGCTAGTAAAACGAAGAGAATCTCAAAGTGATCAATATGAAGGCTTACTCTGATCGATAATTTTCTTTGGGTTGCCTTCGTCGATATCTAAAAATATATAAACAATAGTTGTTTCAATTGAAAAGAAAGCAATAAGATCTTGAGTATCATAAGCATGAATCCATATATTTCAATAGCGAAACGGAATCCACATGTTTAATTGATTTCGTTTTGAAGTTAAAGTGCAACGTGCTTTCAAGTAGCATCTGAACTTACTCATACTGGCCAATAAAGATTTGAATAATTTACGTCTGCTGCGATCGTTCATATAACTGATGAATTCGATTAAATCTCCTCGTCTGTCTTCTTGACGTCTGTTGTCTGGACTGCAATAATCCTTTATTAATTGTGTAACTGAATTCGTTGTCATTTTATCGGCTACCTCGGCAGCTTTAAGCACTCGATGTCCATCGAGATGCATAACACATTTATCTATATTGTCAGTATCTATTTTTTGTAATAGATCATTCTTCATTTCTGCGACTGATTTTTGCAAATCATTGAATTTTTCCAATAAAACTTTGGCTTCTTGCCGGTTTGATTTTGCTGCATTGTCTACTTGCTGTTGAAAATTATTTATGTCAGTTTGTAAAGATTGAATTTGTCCGGCAACATTTGATTGCGACCCGCATTTTTGTAATTCCTTAAGACGCTTTTCAAGACTTGCTATGCTCTCTTGTAAATGAATTATTTCTTGGTTGTCCGGATTTGGTTGAAATTGTGTGAAAGCAGATGGCATCGACATTATGTATCTAAAACCAAACGAGACACACGAACATATATTTATCTAGTATCTTATCAAAAATTCCAATAATTAAATGCTTAGCGATATTATCCGTTAATCGTTTTGTGATTTGGAAGTTTGTATATGAATGATTATTATTCTATGATATATTAAACTCACTTAAGGATGACAAGTCTGGTCGAAACTCACAAAATGAAAGCGGTACGTCATAGAAGACACTCTCTTCATTCAACGCAAATCATACGCATCGATAGGTTATTTTTTCCCTCTCGTAAGAGTATACGTGAAGTGCACGTTTACACAGCGTGTGTATCTAACTATCTATTATACATCACAATCAATTAATAAATAAAGTCACACAGATGGCATACAACAATTACGTCAATATGCCAGCAGCTATGAAAGATAGAATGGTCGATGGTGCTGAAGTACATGAGCAAATTCGAACATTTAACAATGAAAACAAAGACATAGGTATAGCTCGTACACCCAAGCGACATCATCCAGGTGAGCAAAGAAGTATAGAAGGTAATCAAACGGTGCTAATGAATGATGATGACGAAGAATTTGAAACTGTTACATATCAACGAAAAAATTTCAATGGGAACACAAAGATAAACACTGTGAAGAACAAAATGACGTCATATGCATGAATGATAAAACGAACGACCAACTACAAAAACAACCACATCAACAATATATGCAGAAAAGAAAAACAACAAATTGCTTACGCACGTTTTACAATGGAGAAATGACAGCGATGAATCGTCATCGATTAAGAAACACAGAAAAAGAAAGAACTGTCAAACAAATTGATCAGCAAGCTTACCTGATTAACCATGAACATGAACAAAAAACAAGCATTCCCAATCACGCTCTTAATTGTGCTGTTGAACAACATTTATCACCGATAAATATAAAATGTGATCTAAAAGTAATCGACCAAAAGCAATGCACCATGCTAATAAAAGAATTAATTTTAAAAATCGAAAAAGCTTTAGGCATTTAAATAAAAACTATTTAAAACCACTCGGTTTTGAATACTAGTTTATAGATCGTGATGAAAACTTACAGTATTTTACACACAACGTCGAACTCTTCGTTTTTTTATGCAACCCTCAAAATTATCCGGAAAAGTTATTAAATACAGCTATTCATCCAAATCCTCCAAAAAGACTTCCTCCACAACGGTCAGCTATACTCAAGTACGTACTAAAAGATACTCATATTGACGATATAAAAAAGGAAATATCTTCTAAATACAAATCACTATTTAACATCGAAGAAATGCGAGGGACGATAGTTGCAAAAAATCGGCATATACGCATTGAACTATCGGAACACAATGAATATATAAGCATATTAAATACAGGGACAATAGCATTCGAAGGTCAATTGATTGAAGTCTCTGCATTTCTTGCACCACCTCGACTATTAATATGTTCACGATACAACACACCAGGGCATTTAAAAAAAGAATGCAAAAATGATGTTGATTTATGTCGAAGATGTGGTTCAAATAGAAACGAAGGTGAACACAGAGAATAACCACAAGAAATATTTGGCTCGCTCAAAGAGACGTTCAACAAGCAAGAGACCAATATAGCAAAAAGATATCAAGAACACAAATTAAACTTAGGATCTATTTATCGGTAATGTCAGTACAAATTCAACAACAAAACGAAACCATCAAATCGGTATTTACAACAATTACTGAACTCATTCCAATTGTAACACTTTCACTGGGAATATGCCAACAACTCAACTAATCGACAAGTTAAGCTATCATTTGACACATCAACTTCACAAGTTCAAGCTTTAATCAATTTCCTTAATGAACAACATCAATTAGTATCAAGCAAACATTTGAAATTCTTCGAAAGTTTTGAGAAGAACAATCAACTGCTACAACATGAAATTGAACTAATTACATCAACAAGTGAATAAAGATTTTTTTCTATTTTGTTGAGTTCCACATATCTCTCTCAATTTCTGACTCCTATCCTGGTTCAAAACAAGAAAAAGGAATTATATCTGAAATGATAAATGAATCGAATTCTCGCATTTGTATATCCGACCTAAGTAAGAACTGGAAAAAGAACGACCTCCACAAAGTGATAGACCCAAATTAATGGAATGTCTAAATACACATATAGCAGATGTCGATATACTAATAAGATAGCACAAACCACATATATGCTTACTAGCATATGTTGGAACCGCAACAAAGAAAATGCCAAACTCTCCGGGTTATATTGTACTATCACAAAATGGAGCGAATTCTTTTGGAGATGTAGCGATCTTATACCAAAGCTTTCTAAAATGCAAGATTATAGAAAAAGACAACAATTTCATATTGATGGAATTATAAACATCAAAACAATCGATATACATAGGAACAGTGTATGTTCCTCCAGGCTCTCTACCACCTTTCCAGCTGTTCAACAAATGCAAAGACAAACCATCCTACGTTTTGGCGATTTCAATGCTATGCATACAACATGGGGATGTAACAAAAATAATGTAAGCGGAAATCATATATTCAACTGGTTAGAGAAAACAGGAAATGATATAATTGTACCAGAAAAAGCAACATCCAAGAAATCTAACTCGACAATTGATTTCGGCATCACGCATGACGCGCAGGAATGGAATTCACAAGTGCTAGAAGAAGCTACATCTGACCATTGGCCGATTCTCTTTGAAACTCCTTTCACAATTGATGATACACTCTTCTTCAAATAAACTAACTGGCCATTATTCGTCTTCTTTCTCTCTACAATATACAAATATTGGAAATACCTTAGTTTATAATCTAGATACTGAATATTTTTTCTTACTATTCTCAGAATTTCTCAACGCCTTACAGGACAGGTGTAGTGTGTACAAAAATGTCGAGAGCTTCAGGATGCCCTGGCCACCAAAATTTGTGCTCCTGGCACGAACTGTAAACAAATACAGAGGAGCGTATCGCAGATCGCGTACAAGCTTTAATTTGGAAAGATATAGAACATGGAAAGAAGTTTTTACTGCAAAAAGAGCATCTTATATAGAAGAACGCACAAAGGTCAAAATGGAAAGAATTATCGAGAACAACAACATATAGAAGTACGCTAAGCCAAATTTTAAACCATTTGCACCGCCTTTTAAAGGCTTAAAGTACACATCAAGGAAAGATAACAAATCCAAAGGAAATTGCCGATACTCTTGCGAATCATTATGAACAGCACTTCTCAATACCCCAACATGACATGCGTAATCAAACACATCAACAAGCCATAGATATTTTTAACAACCTGGCATATCTACCACCAATACCTCTAACACAAATAAAACATGAAGAAGTTCTACATGAATGGAAAAATATGCTACCCAACAAATCGAGCGACAGTACCGGGACATCAGCTTTCATTCTAAAAAAGCTACCAATTGAATATGTTACAACAATAACCGTACTATTTAATAAATGTGCATCGAATGGTGAATTTTTTGACGCAGCAAAAATTGCTAAAACTATTTGTCTTTACAAACCAGAATATTGTCAATAGTTGAAAATCTCCGACTTCCAATAGCAGCTTGTAATAAACCTGCACTAACAATATTTGTGGATTTTCTATCTGCATTTGATCGTATATGGTACCCGGCCTTAATTAAAAATCTAGAAGGTCTCGATATGCCCCTAGCTTTACTAAAATGGATTCAGTCGTGGTTACAAAACAGATACCTATATATATCATATGGTGAAGCAAATTCGAAAACAATCAAGATGAATGTTGGTGCTCCACAAAGTTCTGTTCTCGCAGCAACGCTGTTTAAACTACATGTCCACTTCCTCCTTTCGTTTTTAGCTGAATTTAATACACACTTGTTTGCAGATGACTTAGCAATAGTCATGCCTGGCTCACTTGAAAAGCGCTTCTCACTGAACATTGATGAAATAGAAGAACACGCAAAAGTAGTCATGAAAAAGCTGGAAAAATTCGCACAAGACACTCTACTTGCCATAAACGTGAACAAAACAAAAGCTCTACTAGTGCATAGTGTCGTATCACCTCGATATCCTACTATCAAATACAACAACCAAAACATTGAATATACGTCAAAACTTTCAAATACTTAGGCGTATACATTTCGACGAAACTAGACTGGGGTCTATTCATAAACGAACGCATAAGAAAAACAAGAAACATATACAAAGCACTACGCATAATTTTCCACACAATTACACCTTCAATAATTTCATTACGAAGAAAACGTTTTTAGCATACGCACTTCCTCAATTCTGTTGACTTTTCTGTACTTGGCTCTAGTATACGGAAAACCAAAAGAAATCAATGGAGTATATCTATGGTACTGGTATAAGAATAGTATACTCGCTGAACAAATTGGATGATATTTCAACACTAATTCTATCCAGAGAAAAATGCCTATTTGAATATATCTACGTGTATTGGTGCCGTCTAAGCTACCACCTCAAAAAAGCACCAGATGCTATAACATTTCCACAATCTTGACAAGAATATGAGATAATTACATCGACCGATAAATCTTGGTACAAATCAATGAGTTTTCGGAAGAATAGTTTTTTTCCTAAAAGACTAGCTGAAAGAGCTCAACACACGATAGTAGAATGGCAAATCTACGAAAATTTTTGGAAGGAGCAGCTTAAATATTTCAAAAACAATACGCATTACCTTAATTTATTTGTATACAAATTCTTCATGGAACCCCCATAGCCATAATACAATAATCAAATCAATATAAAATATAATTCAGATAAATCTAAGCGAATACATAAACTAGGTAACAATTTAAAAGCAGGAATTGATTAAATCAATACTTGCACACAAATAATAAGCCATAAATACCTAAAAAGAAAAAGAAAAACAATTTAAATATACATATTATTATAAATTTCAAATGGAACAAGCGTAAACCAAATTGAGCGCGGTACATGTGCAGAATAAGCATACCCCATCAATGAAATCAATATCTAGCGGTTTATGAGCATACCATCATTAATAGAGAGGGCTCTCTCTCTCTCTCTCTCTCTATGAATGATGGTGTACTCGTAAGGCAATAGATATTGATTTCATTGTTAGCGTGTGCTTGTTCTGCACATGTACCACGCTCGTGTATTTACGAATTGTATGTAGCTTATCTCAACCCCAAATATGGAATTTCATCATTTCGATATATTCACTATTCCTCTTTCCTCTTCTATAGTACTATATCATATTTCTTAAAAGATGTCGCCAACATCCGTAACTTTTGTACGTAAGAAAACATATATTTCTATACAGCTATAATCATTCAATCACAATCGCTCTCACTGTTAATTGTTAATTGTTATCATGACTATTTCTATTCCATTTTATGTAAACTGGTATCTATCAATTATTTTTCTTTAGATATTTGTACTATATTCAGTTAACCTGTATCTCGTTAGCTCTCTAAATACTAACTTTGCTGGAAAAAAAATGTTGTCTACTCTGCTAAATCTTTTTTATCGTTCGTAACTTCTTCTTCTCTATTCTTAGCTCTCTTCTTTTTACCTTTTCTTGATGTGAACCTATAATGGCACAATAAATTGAACGAAAAAAAAATAAGAAGATACTCTCTTCGTCTTTCGTACGTCTAAATTATGTCATAGTGTCGAGTTAAAAGCATACGAATCCAATGTGGATAATCACAATTATGATAACTTCAAAGACAAATGGATGATCTAGTAAAGCACGTTATTTTGTGTTTTAAATGAAAGGAGTCATAGTATACAACGATTGTCTGATGACAGTAACAATAGACAACTCAGAGAGCACGATGTATCGAGAGGAAAGAAAAAACATTTGCCTATGCAGTCTGTATTAACTTGTTGAGAACAAAACTGGATGGAACACGATGGGTTTTTTTGTTGATTCGATGCAAAAATAAGAGATGATAGGGCGTGTGTTGTGTTGTTTTTTTCTTTTTTCCTCTACTGCACGATATTTTTTTATACCCTTCTTAGGAATCAATACAACTATCATGCCAAGAAAAAACATATCTTGGGAGCGGAGACGAGCATAAAAGTCCATGATTACGTTGTCAATATTTATAGAGCAGAAGAGAACGCGATGAAAAAAAAATTGGTGCTGTCGCTTCAGTTCCATATTTATGATATAGACAGTGAATCACTATTACTAATTTTATCTTTCTGTGTAGCAAAGGTAAATTAGGTGATAGTACGTTTTTGAATTTTCATGAATATGTTTTCAGTTTAGAAAAAAGTCAAAAAATCTTATACACATGAATAAAAGATTTTCAAACGCTACTCTGACACTCGGCTACGTGAGCCCGTTGACTTTTGAGAATAACATACTCGCATACAATAAGAAAAAAGTATGAAAAATCATCCATTTCTTTATAGAATTATTATCCAAAAAGAAAGCTTGTCACTACTAATTCAATTTATTTTGACGTTTCTAGATTGTGACAATTAATGCAGCAGACCACTGCCACATATAATACATCTACTAATTTTAGTACTGGACAGTGTTTATCATTCGATTTAAAGCAGATAGCTGTTTGAACGAATTTACTTCAAAAATTTAATATACAAGAGTCTAGATCGATTTGGATTACTCAATCGGATGATTATCAATTGGCATTACATTGTGAAGATGGACTACGACTCCTTCAATATTCACAACGCTACAATGAATGGCAACAATTGATGCTTTTCGAAAACTTTTGTGATAAAAATGGATTCAACAAAGCATGTTATTCTCTGAAATGGTGGAAAATACCGCACTTAAACAAAGAAATCTTGATTTCCAGAAAGAACTTCGATGGGGTTCATTCTATGGAGCAGATATTCCACTGGGATTGTTCACTCGACACATTGAATACGGTGTTCGTTTTTATATATTAAATCCAAGCGGTTTTCAGAAAAATCAACGCCCTATATGGGAAGATACCAGTACGAATCAATCAATATGGCACGTTAGCGATAGTGATCACTTCGAGTTTGCCGATATTACAGGAACTGGTGTCCTAAATATTATTCGTCGCAATGATGAAGGACTTTCAATTTATGGTTTTAAAATGATCAATGAAGTCTTTACTCTCGAACAATTGATCAACACTAATCTATGTAACAAAGATTCAGGATGGCGACCAACACTAGACAAATTATGGTTTGTCCGTTTGGCAAAAAGTCGTATTTTTAATTTGATATTATTACAATCGGATGTCTTGAGAGTTTATGAATATAACGAAAAAGAAAAATGCTTTGCTTGTCTGCACCATGATACATCTATGGCAGAACGATTTGGATGGAGGAAAGAACATTCAGATTCTTTGCTATTTGGTGATATCAATGAAAATGGCCGTATGCAAATGATCTATACAGGACCTCGAGGATTGACAATATGTTCTTTTAATGTTGAAGCTCGTAAATGGGAAATTAATTTAAATGCTGATGAATTAAACATCGAAAGCAGGTATGCCAATCCTTTGATGTTTTTTTCCTGCTGGCAAAAGTCCAACAAAAATATCCGTATTAATTACAACACAACATGAAAAATTACATTGTTTCACAATTAAGAACAAACTTGTTCGATCACATATGCCCAAAGACTCAAACGAAAGCTCTTCTCACAGTGTTGAATCGAACCAACAACTGTTACAACAAAGACTTATTCCACCACCTGGTGAATCTACAATTCCATCAAAGATTGTTGCATTTTGATGTGATACTCTCGATATTAAGCCGCTGATGTCAGCCGTCAAGGGTGTGGGTGTGGGTTAGACCTACGACAGTTCCATATTAGTTCCGATCTTCGGAACTGTCTCACAAGTTCTTTGATCGGAACTGATCTGTGTAAAACAGCACCGTGATCATCTATATGGGCAGGGCTGCAACAGTTCTCGATAAGGAACTGTTTGTTATGTCACAGTTCCTGAAGAAGAACTGTTCTGTGAAAACAGTTCTCGAAAAGGAACTATGTATTGGGTACAGTTCTTTGAAAAGAATCGGTTCCAAGAACTGAGAGCTGTCGTAGGTCTAAACGTGACCTTCTAATTTTCGGCTAACTTATATTGATCATACTAAATTCATTTAGCACTATCCCAGCCTCATACTACAGGATTAACTCATTATTTAGAATTGGAATTGTTACAACTCCATGCTTTTGTTGATTGGATATTTTCAAGCTTATATTTGTTGAATATTTAAAGCTTGAGAACTACGTCTGTTTCTAATTCAAGATCATTAACAATATCTTCACGAGTCCAAATCATAGAGACAGGCGAATCTGATTCTGATTACATGTTCAATTTCAAATGAAAAATGCTTTTTCAATAGACTCATATCTAAATACCAGTCACCGTCTCCAGTCCGATATGCCCACAACATATTTTTTGCTGTTTTATCTACGGTTATCACATGAATAAGATAGAATCAAGCATCGGTCATCATTTGTTTATGTACGACTACTAGTAATGGTAGCACTTTTCTTCACTAGACATATCTATTCATTTTTGACATCTATCTTTAACAATCTCTGAGTCATGGTGATTAAAAAAAAACTGCACGAACTTGTTTGTATCTCTCAAGTTTTTTCAATAGAAATATCAATCGTTCCAAACTATAACAATAATGTTTATCACAAACGTACGTAAGACTAGAACTAAATACCCACACCTTCTTCTTCGTTCTTGAAACATAATGTTGATTATGTTAAGAGTATGGATGAGGATAGGCGTTAGTTCTTCCTTTTCTTTCTTTCGTTATCAAAACAACAAAGGTGCACATCAGAGCATCAATCAGGCCGTGTTTTTGTAGACCTGGCCGGTCCGTGACAGGCCTTTACATTTCAAGCTTGTCTGTGCCTGTCAACTAATTTGGTCGGCCTGGCCTGCCTGCTTGTCATTCTCTACGGCCTGCCTGGCCTGCCTGACAAGGCCTGTCAATTTCTTTTAATGCTAATATCATTACGAGGATAGAATAGAAACATGTAATTAATGTTGAGAATGAAGAAAACCAGTTTAATTAATTTAATATGACTAGATGAAGCATTTACTTATCGAAGTTTTCA